CCTCTAACCGGAAAATGAAAATTTAATCAGATAATAAACCTACTAATGCCTTTTCCAGTAGTTACTGTACGTGTCATACCTCAACACAAGTCACCTTCCCATGTGTAGCTACAATTTAAACGTTCTCTTTTCTTCTCCGCAAACAGCAGCTAACCCCTGTAAGCCAATAAGAATAAATCATCAGGGTCGGATTTTGGCGCAGGAAGTTTGAGGGAAAGTGGCTTTAGCAGCTCTGCTCCGTGAGGCTTTATGACTCTCCTCTCTAATCAATGAGAGTTTCTATGTTATGTCCATGACAAACTGTATCTATATTAATATAACCATTCAAAGATTCAACAAGGACAAATCCAAACCATTGTTTGTAAAGCTGAAACTGTCGATCACCGTGTGAATTCCCCTCAGATGAGAAATACCCGCTCCCATTTGTCATATAGTTCCATAGCTTAGTCACACACCAAGAAATCATCTCAGAGGGATCCAAGCCTGCCATACCTCCTCACTGCTGCTGCTGTTCAGTCACATGCCTGTATATTTAAACCCTGCTTGTAATGAGCGCACTACGACGGTAAGGCATCAGTCATGCAACAGGTTTTAAAGTGAGAAGGCATTAAAAAAAAGGGGATTCCTGAGATGTGGATCGCTACAGATGCTGCAGTGAAACACATGTAAGGGTTGGAGACGGCTTCCAAATCTAAGGGAGCTTAGGCAATGATCTCACGGGTCTGATAGGCACACAATGAATTTACAATTCTCTCACATCTGATCCTCGCTGCTCCCTTAAGCTATATGTGCTCTGTTTGCACTAGAAAGTCGGTTTTCACTTCAGAAGAGGGAATAAAACCTGCTTTCTGGACAACGTGAATTACTGCTGTACAAATTGTGTAGAATTTAAAAGGTGCTCAATTAAAATTCAACACTCTCACTAAATGCCTGAGCTATTTCTTGATTATCTCATTTTTATATAAGCACTAACAAATAGCTGACAATTTTCCAAAGACTTCAGTGTCGAATATATTAGACTAAGGAGCTCTGAACATCTCCAAACATCATCAGGCAACACACATTCCCTTCCTTTAGCCAGGTGAGCGCTGGATGGGGCCCTGGATGTCAGAACCTGAGCCCAAACCGGACGGGGGGGGGGGAGCTTCGCCTTCCTTCCACCAGGATCAACTGCGGAGTATTAATGGATTCAAAGTGGATCAACTGATGGCTATCGTGTTTCGCAGTTTAGACTCAGACTGCACTCTTTGACAGGCCAAACACACACATGTGCACCAGGGGCCAGAGCTGTGGTGCAATGCAGATGTTAACACCCAGAAATAAAAGGAGGTAATTTCATAATTAAAAGAAAAGCACATAAAGGAAGCTCTTATTCTCATTCTGCTTCAACTCGAGAGTCAGCACTCAATCTGAAGTTTATCACTTGTTTTATTTAAGCTTTTAAGCGAGGATTCAGACAGGTAACCACAAACATTTCAGCTCACACAGACCAGCAGCTACCACTATGACACCTTCCTGGATATTGATAACAGTCTATTGATCAGGCTCAGAACTGGAGCTTTTAATCCACCTATTTGGCAATAAATCAACTTGCATATCATTTAAGTCACACCATGATCAATTTACATTTCCAAATAAACAAGCAACAATTAAATACACAAAACAACATCAAAAATTGTTATTAGAATTTCCTTCAAAGCAAGAATAAAGACATTTTCCTGACTATTTCTAAATGTATTTAATATCTCTATAATATCATAATAATCTGTTATTTTTGCTATAATTTCATGACTTCTGTTGCAGTATTTATTTAAACAAATAGAGTAATCTACAGTGTTAAATCAAAACGATGTGACAATTCTGCCAAATATAGACATATTTTAAATTATCCTTTTATTTACAGTGACAAACCTCTGAATTATAAGAATTTTGCGTGAGTAAATCAATGTTGACAAGTATAAAATTGTCCCATCATGTAAAGCAGAAGGTTATTAGAACATTGCAAATTATCTGGATCAACTTATTGTATTTTTAATTAGTTGTTTAAAAGTTTAAAAAGCTTCAGTGGTTCATAATAATTTACTTGTTAATCTGAAATTATTAAAAACAGCAAAGCATAAAACTGCACAAATAGGAGCCCTGTTTAATTGTTACATGCAACATGAAAACCTACTGATCTTACACCTCAAAACCACATTTAAAAAAAAAAGGCCCAGATCTTAAAGCAAAGCATTTAAACGTATTACCTCAAATACATCATATCAACCAGGGTAATGCATGTTTTTATTTTGCGCAAAGTCTGACTAAATTTGTTAAATAGCACAAATACGCATTATACGCTTTGTTACACAACAACACGCAATTAACAAGCAGTAAAAACAACAGCTGAAACTAAAACAGGCCTGAATGAAAATAAAGAATAAATAATCACAACCAACAAGCTTTAAAGATTGCTAATTTTTGAGGCCCATTTAATTATAAATTCATAAAACATGCAGTGGGAATAAATTTTTAGGGTTATTTAATTAACCAACCCAAAACCACACATAAAGGCAATATACATTTAGCGCTCTAAATATGATTTTTAATTATATATATATTAAAACAAATATCTGTCTTTATTATATTATCTGCATCCTTCCTTGCAAGTAAAAATAAAGATAATATTAGTAGAATTAAATTACATAAATTAAATATATTTAATTTTTTAACTCTGTATGATGCATAAAGAATATAAGTATAATATAAGTAATAAACTACAACCGGAAGTGTGTCTTTTAGAATAGTTTTAAGTTGTAAAAAAAAACACATATTTACCAAAGACGGGTAACTAATTAATGGGTAGGAACTATAAACTGAGTTAGACTACTGAATTACATAATGCATCAGACTGAGTCATGTCATTTAATCCAAACCGAGTTTTGTTTGAATCATAATAATGTATTTTTGTAAATGAAGTTAAACTCTCTTTCTAAATACAAATAAGAGATGACCTTCATATGTAAGGGGGAAAAAAATCAAAGAATTAAATTTAACTGAAGTCATAAAAATGCTTTAAAAGTTACTGTTGTTTTCAAGATCAAACCAACAGTATCGATACCTTTTATTGGTCAAGACCATATAAGGTCTTGGCCTTGTCTTGGGGCTCCATGATCTTGATGGTGTAATTTTTACTATCAAAAGTATATTTTCTATGAAAAAAAGAATGCACTCATAATGCATTTCGAATGCACATAGAGGACAATGTTTATATCTATATTAGTACTTCTGTGAGCAAAATATATATACAGTTTAGTATAGTTTTACTTCTGGGCAGAAAAAAAATATTTTACTTTGTTTTTCAAAATTAGATCCAATAATTCTAAAAGAGCAATCTTTTAAAAAGGCTTAAGTTCTGCTCAAATGTGATAAATTTCTTAATTAAATATTATCAATAAACTAATCTGCAAATATAAATATAGTATGGCTTCAATATATTAAGTTTTGCTTTTGTATAATTCAAGGTATCCAAAATGACTCACTTTTAGAATAATGACCTGCAAATATTTAGATTCCCTGAGAAGTTTAAATTCAACACAACAAAAATAATGTAAATAGCCAAAATTAATTAATTATGCCTTTTTTTCATTGAGGTATATATACAATTAAAGGCAAATCCGCAAATTCATGCGAGATTTCGGGATTTCCCTGTTTCCTTTGTGCTTTTTACGTCATAAATCATAATATCATATCTATTAAGAAGCTGTAAAGGTTCCCGTTCAACCAGCAGGCTCTGGGTTTCCAAATGAACACCTGTACGCAGCACCCGCTTCCCCGCTCATGGACCTCACAGACATGGCGGAGATTTCGCTTTAAGGCCCCCTTTTTCTTCTAACAGTGAGTCACGCTCAGCAGGTCCAGCAGCTGAACATACACACTGCCGACTGGACACATGCGCTCAGTCACATGCGCCGTATGGAGCGTTTCCTGCGGCGCTGCTGTGCGCCTATAGCCGGGCAGGCTGCAGCAGAGCGCAAAGGGGCCATCATCATGGCAGCCATTACAGGAGAAGCTCCTCCAGCTTTTGCACGGCCTACGTGCACATTAACTCAGGGGAGTGGCGCATGGCTTTGACACCATGTTTTGCGCCTCGCAGATCAAGCTTTAAAGTGTTTCAACTGCACGTTTTTCCTCGACTGTTGTGCATTTTTAAACATAAATAACACTTTCTGAAAGGGGGGCGATTAAAAATGGCTCTAATGTAGGAAAGTGTGGCTTTGCACTAGAAAGGGGGAGGACTCACACGATGTAGGGGTCACGTGTTCTTGCACAAGAGGGTTGAATATTTACCTTTTTTGTCACGCCATGTACTTTTTTCCTTATAGATTAATAATTATATAAGCAGGCAAGAATGTGGAGGCGCATTTTACGTAAAAAGGGCGTTGCACACTTAAAAAAAAACGTGCTTTCTAAACATTTAAGATTGTATAGTCCTCTCTATATATTTTTTTTTCTTTTTGTAATGCGCTTGACCGCAAAAATATCTAAACGTCCAAAGATTATCCAGAGGAGGTCGATTAACTGCAACTTCTTGTGCCATAGAGTTCCAAAACATGATGACAATTATTGTCTTCATGAATCACATGAATCACAACAAAATAAATCCAATCAAGCCTAACAATATGTTTGCATGTATGCAGGATAGGGGCCTCCCTTTAGTGGACCATGGCAGCAGCCACGGCTGGGCATTGCGGATGCTGGGACTAAAAATCACTTTATTTAAATCGCTTTTCTTTATTTCTTTCTTCAGTTTTGATCACAGGCACAATTAGGGGCTTCAATAGCCAAGCAACAATAGCAAACAGCAGCTACAACAACAGGCTGGCAGAAATCTCACCAGAAAAACAGGGAAATGTGGCTTACTATATTTCACAGCGGAAGCCTACAGGTCACACACACACACACACACACAGATGGAAACAGAGCAGCATAGGTGTATGGGTGTAAATGCAGGCGCCTACCTTAGCTTTTTGGGAACAGAGTAGTCTACCTCTATCAGCTTTCCGTGCAATTCAACTTTACCTGCAGAGGCGAAAATAAATAGTGTGAGACGTGTTTGCAACAATGCATGAGGTGGCTGCGTCCCCATTCATGATTTAAAGAAAGTAGGCCTACTGTGCGCGCGCCGTGGCGCACATGTTTGCATAAATCCATCCACTTTGGAGAGGTAATTTTTTGTGCGCTTATATAGAAGTGTGTGAGTGGAGGTGGTGTGGAGGTAAGGGGAATGGGCAGCCATGCTTTCCACTCCCACAAGCAGTGCAATGAGGGGAGACTATATGTTTGTCCTGTAAAGAATGCCAAACAACAAACAGATCTTAAGGGGGGGTACTTCCTGTTTTTCTTTTTGTTTTGTTTTTGGAAAAAAATAAAAATAATGTCATACTATCACGCACAGACGGAATGAGTGAGTGGCCTGGCGCAGCACGGAATTAGCGTGTCACCTCGTCCTCCCCCCCCCCCCCCCCCCCCCCCCCCCCCTTCTCTCCATCTCCTCCTCCAACACTCAGCTACCTGTTTATGAGCCCTTTTCCTCCGGACCCCCGTGACCCACCTCCAAGACACCTCGTAAAAACATAGCCGGACACCGGGGGAACCCGGATCCGACAAGTTTTCCGCGCTGGAGCCGCGCTGCGCTCCTCAATAAAATCAGGACGAAAAATAAGTGAAAAATAATTATGCCTACCCGAACCCAGTCAGTCAGTCAGAGACCATCCCATATACATTCCAGCGGCTGATCGCGAAAGAAAAAAAAAAAACGAGGAGAGAGGGGGGGAGAGAAAGTAGAACCATGCACTATCGGAATCTCCAAATAAAACGAATTAAAAGGGGATTCTGCGCGTAAAAATGTGCGTTCAGATCGCGCGTGTTTTCCTCTAAAAAAAAATCCTCCGACTCTTTCCTGTGTGGGATCGATCATTTATACAATATAGATATAACTCTGATCACAAAAAAGAAAGATTTTTGTTTGAAAAAAAAACAAACAATAACAAATATTGCACATTTTCACTTTGAGCCACTGGATCCTGTCAGCAGGATCACTCAGCGCAAAATATCAAAATCCAAACACTTACCAGAGAGAGTGTCTATAGCCTTTATGGCCGAGTTCTGATCGGGGAAGTCCACAAAAGCATAGCCGGATTTCAACAGGACCTGCTCGGGCGCTGGCAGCTTCCTCTCCCCGAAGAGCTGCTCCAAGTCCTCGACTGTGACCGAAGGACTTAGATTCCCAACGTATAGTTTGTTCATGATCTGAAGAACTGAAGGGGGTAAAATCTCAAAAGGCTTTTCGGATCTTACGAATAGAATAAAAACAAAAGAATAAAATAAAAAATAAAAAAAATTAAAATATGTCTTTAGAAAACGACCCCCTCCAGGTTTGTTTGGAGCTAAATGAGGGACCCCCCCTGTACCAAGCAACTCTGGCCCCGGTCAAACTCTTTCAAGAGGGACTAGGGGGGTGGTGAGGTGAGGTTTAAAAAAAAAAAAAGTGTCGTTACCAGCCTACGACGCTATTACTCCGGAGCCAACAAGCGCCGCCTCTAAATAAAATCTCCCTTAAAAATCACAAGAAAAACTGTTTGGAGGTGCATGTGCCGCTGGTCCGGCGCGCAGAGGGGCATGGTGATCACTAGGCTGCGTTCACTGGAAGGGATGGGCTTAAAGGAGGCAGAGGAGGGGGGTTATTTCATCAAACCATAATAAGGGCCCATAGGCTGCATGGGATAAGGGGTTTGGCTTGGTTAAGGAATAGGAGGAGAAGGGAAGGGCAGGGGCGTCTCCAAAACTTTTGCAAAAGGGAGGGGTGGCCATAGGAGTGCCACTAATAATTCAGAGGTTGTGACACAAAACCAGAGTGAAATAATCATGAACTGAAGGATTACAGAGGCACTATGCTACTGGTGCTCAAGGTCCAAGGTATTTTTTATTTATTCATTTTTTACAATAATACTATATTTAATTATTTTTAAATCAATGTTTTTCATTTTTAAATCGGCTGATCGGTTTTGATTTTTGATTTAATACTATATTAATTTCTTTTTCAGTACAAAAAAAGAGAAAATCCAAAAATAAACAAAAAAAGCATGCTGATGTAATTAAGTAAATAATACATTTGACCAAACCTTTTCCTGTTTTGCTAATTTTTTGGTTTAAAATGCAGATTTTCACAGCAACATATTAAAAAAAAACATTAAGAGTTTATCGATGTATGAGAACTGCAATGTTTATCATATCAAGTATAACCTCATCCACATAGGACCTGCATACATATATCACTTTACTTGGAGTTAGCTATACATATGCATATATATATATATGTATATATATATATATGTAAAACTGTATCTGGAGCGTGTAACAAAAGTAATTTCCCTCTAGGATTATTAAAGTATTTCTGATTCTGATATAATCCTTTTCCTAACATTCCTGTACATTATGTATAATCTGTGCATGTAGCTCCCATAATGATATTAAACACAACTTTTTAGAGTCCCTAACTTCTTCTTTTTGCTTGTACATACACCTAATAATAATATGTATAGCACTGCTGGATATATGCAAACCACATTTTGTTGCTTTGTACTCATGACAGTGCAATGACAATAAAGTTTAATTCTATGTGTGTTTTTTCTCCGTCTTGTTTAGCAACTTGATCTCCTCCTGTTTTCATACATAAATATATGAATGCATTCCTTTCGAGAAACCTCTGCAATTTTACTGCACACTTCATGAAATTATTGTGTTTAGCTCAATAAAAAGCATCAAATACCACCAGGTCATTGGACCCCTGTAGGTTCCTCTGCTTCCATTGAGCTACAAGAGAAAGGAGGAAGTAAAGAAAAATAAAAGCTGCTGTGTGGAAAATCCAAGTCATTGTCATTGCTCTTGTCTACTTAAAACAGAATACCACCAATCCCTCGCTCAGTTTACGTTTTTAATTATGTATAAGCCAGACAGAAATATGGATTTATTAGATCTTTTTCACTGCAGTCGGCACCTGCTTGAAAAATATTAGATTTTTTTTAGGCCTTTACATTACTTTAATTTCTTTAATCTTATTAGTAAAAATATTCCTGCAACTGAAAATACAGATTACTTTTTTAATGCAATAAAGTGAAACCACATCCCCTTCTTTTTTGTTAGTATTTTGTACCTCAAGGCAAATTTAAAATTCAAATTTTGCCAAATTCTGTTTTCGTTTTTAAATCTCATTTTGAGTGTAACCAAGGCAGTAGAAATAACAAATGCTGATAAGGAGGGTATTTCCTGGAAGAGCTTCTCCCTGCTCTGCACAGGGATCCTTTCGTTTGCCATGGCCGTTAAGTGTTTGCAAATGGGTGTGTTTGGGAGGGAAGCATGTTTTAAGGCGGACTGCAAACAAAAGCTTTGCAAGGCGGTGGCAACTGTGCTCATGCATGGGATGTGTAGTTTCCTACCTAGTTGCACAGAGGAGGAGGAGCCTAATCCTTCCCTTTTTATTTTTTTTTTTTTTGTGTTTCTTACATGTTTTATTTTTCTCTGAGCTTTTGGAGCATTACTGCCACCCCACTCTAGAGCAGAAAGTGCCAGCTCCCTCTCTCTTGCCTGCTTTACGTCAGTGTGTGAACAGAGGAATGTCCAAACTGTGGCTTATTTACAAAACAGCTCTTTAGTTACTTTCCTGATGGCATGCATACATTCTCCATTATTGTGGGGCATTTTTCTGCAACCCAGCCAGCAAATACACAGCTAAGGAAAACAGCTTTAAATCAAATAAAATTGAATAATCAGCTTTTTTTAAAACTATTTCTGCTTGAACCACTGCGCAGCAAGTTTTGTACAAATGTCCTGAGTGGAAACGCATGTGACATTTGGGAGAACGTGGAGACACATATGTGGACTTGAAGTGGAACATGGAACTGTATTTTCAAGGTGTGGTAAGGCTGTTGTGGTTTCTCTCCTCACTGCGCCAATTCCCCACTGTTTTACAAACTTTCAGAATTTTGAATATCACAAACCTGCGTTTAATTCTAGTGGCAGCTTTTTCTGACAAATCTATAACCAGGACAGTTTTACAAAAATCATAGATGAATGCATGGGAATCTCTTAAGTTACCAAAAGGATTACTAGGACCTTGTTTTTGTCAAAGGAAATAACTCTCTCAACACTACTTCCTCCTGATGTCACTTTAAATATGACAACTATATTTTGTCTTTCTTCTTAAACCACCATTTCAAACGGTTCGTATTTAAAATATGCGTATTGGAGTAAAATATAAATTGAATTAGAGCCAGTCCACCTTACAGACAAAACATGTCAACCGAGATAAAAATAGAAAAGCCTGAATGAATTTAACTAACATGAGTTTTTTTTTTTTTTTTATCTCATCTTGGTGAAATCTATATTTGGATGGACATGTAATCTGTTGCCCCGCCCCCCTAAGGACTTCTCAGCTTTTTATATTAACCAGCAGAGGTAGCAGTAGGACTTCAGGCCCCTGTAGATTAATGAAGCCTTTACTCTCACCATGTGATGAGATGTGGTCAATATAACCTGGGAACTAAAAATGTAAAACATTTCAGTAGCTCTAATTTCTTACCTTGTAAATTAATTATAATCATGTTCTGGGCATATCTACAGGTTTTATTCAACATAAATATTTAAAACATTTTTTTTTTCCCCCAGCTTTAACTTTTTTTTTTTTTAGCAGGGAAACTTCCCGGAAGCCAAATATGATTAAACTGAGAAAAGTGTGTGTTCATGTCAATCATAATGACATAATTAAAATCATAATAAAAAAAAAAAAAAAAAAGAAAGAAAGAAATATTAGTAATATTTCTTTTTCCAAGCTAAATGAATTGGCAAAGATATGCTTTATGTTCATCTTTTTTTTTTCAAAAGAAAAAACAAAAAACAATTTTTTTGTGAAAAGAATGAGACAGACATTATGGGAAAAAAAACAACTCCTTTTAATCTTTTTAAGGTTGTTGAATTTTCACTCGTACACAACAAAACCCATAATTTAACACGGCTTTTACAACAATAAACCTTTTCTGTACATAAAAAAAAAAAAAAAAAAAACAATGAGGGCACTGCTTTACATGTGATTCCATTTATACTGATCAAAAATAAGTAAGAGGAAGAATGCGGATCAACTGTGTGGGAGAGTTTGGTTTCTTTAATGTGGCACTGGATGAGAAATTGGTCTTTTAAATAAAAGCATACTGTATTTCTCAGAAACTAATGATGCTGTATATATTTTGTGAAGCTACAAAGCCTTTCCTGACAGGAACATTAACTGCACCTGGAGACCGTGGGAGACGCAGCAATTCTGAGAGGCTACACCAGGTTGGGGCATTTAAACACCAGATTACACAAAACCAAACTAACCAACTGAGAAATAGGCAGATGAACAACTCCCAAGTTTCACATTTTGCAGAAAGATAACAGCTCCAGGGGCAGTAATGGGGGAAAAGGTTTTCTGCTCTCCTTTTTCACATACCTACATTAAAAAGCTTACACTGCTGGTGTTCTAGCACTTAATACATAACTTCCTCAAAAAAACTTCATATCAAAGAAACCCATTTGTCCCCATGTAGAGTAGGATATCTACAAGAAATTCAAATCTTTAGGAGAAAACTCTCATCTGTCCATGGAAAGAAGGGATTAATGTCTGCCTCAACAGCTCAATATCGACCTGCGAAAGAAAACAGTCATTAGGTAAAATAACAGACAACTCTTTAAGATAGCTGATATCTGGACTTACGGGGAGAATAAGACCGGGATCTTGACCGAGATCTGTACGCTCCTCTGTAGTATGGTGATGGAGATCTTCGTCTAAAATATATGTATATTTAATATGCTTGTTAGCAACGAAAAAAATAAAGGCAGAAAAATCAGAAGCCAAGGTTGTATTTTTTCCCCAACATTAAATAGCAAAAAACAGCAGCTCTCAAAGGGAGAATGTCACCTGTATGATCTGTAGTAATCCCTGTCGTCATAGCGATCATAGCCTCTGTCATATCCGCGGTCGTATCCACGATCATAGTCACGTGAATAGCGTCTGGGTCCACCAGGACCACCTCCGCCACTAGAAAAGAACAAATGATTTATTCCAGTTGAAATTTAAAAGCAATTGAAATCAGGATATCTTCATTTTAGGCAGACATGCAAATCACAGCTTCAATGTCCAAAAGAACCACAAAACATCTATGTATTTGGCAGGTTATAAAAAGTAACAGACCAAAAGAAAGTTGTCACTACTTGTAAAGCAGAAGGATTTTTTTTTACTTACAAAAAAAATCTGAAACTTGTCTCCCTAACACACCTATTTAGCCCCTCCTCAGCTAACTCTTAATAAGCCACCTTCCATTGCATACCGTAGCGTGTTTGTGGGGTACACCTCTAACAGTTTTACAGACATGCAGTCTGAAATTACAGCCCATTAGCCCCAGCAGAAGAATTCCCGCTCCATCAGACTGGATGCAGTGTGTCTCAACATGTCATTTTATAGCCTTGGCACAGATTTTCAAATCCATGGAAAACAGCAAACCCTCCTTCCTCTGCACATGATCTAAAAATATTTTACTGCTGTGCATTTGGCACCCCCATCTGGTTTGGAGTATTATTGTCCCCAAACTGGCCACAAAACAGGAAGAGGAAACTATTTAGACTGCATGAATTTTATTGTTTTTAATCAATAACTTTCCTTTTGCCACATTTCCATACAGGATAGGCTTATATTTTCAGCAGCCAAGTTGTGAACAATCTCTTACCAGAGTGATGCTTTCCTTGCTCCATCTACAAGTTTAGGTAATTAACCATTTATTTTTAGAGGAAAGAAAAAAAAAAAAAAAAAAGTATTCTTGCTCATATTGTTTTCATAGCTTTAGCATGACCAGCCAGCTCATCAGTCTAGGAAGGCTTAGACTCACAGCATTTGCCTGAAAATTATCCAAAGCGGCATCACTTTTCAGTAACCAGTCAAGATAGTCTCAACTATGCTCTAATAAATACATCTACAACTGGCTGCTTTAGGAGTTTCTTTTTATTCATGTGTTAGTGTCACGTCTCTGTAGTTATTCGACTGGTTAGAACCCTTTTCAATGACTATTAGTTGGACCAGCCTTAGAAGTCTATCACTACCAGCTCCTTTACAGACTGATGGCAGGGTGTAAGTCAGTCTTGCTGGCCAAGCTAGTCACACTTAATCCCTGACCTACTGGAGCACTTCTTGGTCTCCATAATGAACCAACGGTGTAAACATTTTTGTAGAAAATTAAGTTATGATGATTGCCTTTGAAGGATTAAAAGTAAAAAACAGAGGCTAAATATTTTTCCAGGGCAGACTTTCAGAATTTTACTTTTGACGCTTTATAAGACCAGGCATACAATTAGGTCCATTTAGGTCCGTCATACAAACGATGAAATATTTTTTAAATTTGTGGGTTCATAAAGCAGGAAACTTAGGTAAAGGGTATAAGAAATCCCTTTTAAAAGGCAACAGACTTATTCCAAATAAACAGCTGACTTACTATGTGGGCCGGCCCATGTAGATTCCTGGTGTGGGGGTGTGAGGTCTTTTTGTGATTGAGAAATCCACCCGGATTCTACGGCCGTCCAGTTCCATACCATTAGCTCTGTCCTTTGCCTGATACCAAATGAAGTTAGCATACATCTTTAATATAAAGAATTAATTTTATGTTTTGTAATGATGATTGATTTAAGTGTTCCGTTACCTCTTTAGCATCATCTGTGTTTTCAAAGTAAACAAAAGCAAAGCCCCTGGAGCGCCTTGACTGCTGGTCATACACGATGCAAACATCTGCCAGAGGCCCATACTTGGAGAAGACGTCCTTCAGGTCCCTCTCTGTGGTGTACAAGCTCAAGCCGAACACTCCCAGGCAAGCATTTGGATCTGGATTAGCCTGCATTTGAGCAAATAAAAAGGTCTGGATGTGAACATACTGCCTTAATACATCAGCGCCCCCCAGTTCAACAGTTCATAAAGCAAATTCTGCAACTCACCCGATTACCAATATGCCTGCGCCTATTGGACATGGGTGAATGACTGGTGCTTCTGCGCCGGCGCTCTCCACTGTAGGACCTGCTGTGAGATCTACGCCGGTAGGACCTGGAGCGGGACCGGGAATGGCTATAGTGTCTGCGAGAGCCATGGTGAGAATGGGAGCTGCAAAGCAGCAAAAAACATAAGCATTTTTGGAAACAACTGTTTGAAGGAGAGCAGTTAAGTGCCACTGGGGCTCTAAAAGAATGATCTCTCACCCTGATCTAGACCTGGAGCCAGACCAGGACTTGGAGCGGGAGCGATGGGATCCATCTTTGGAATGAGCTGGGGAGCGGCTTATCGACTTCCTAGAGCCACGGGGACTCGCGCTCCTGGAAGCGGAGCGGGACTCCTGAACGAACCACACACACACACACACCAGCGCATTGTAACCACAGACAAGGTGGTCAAAAAGGAAAAAAATATGCTACAAAACATTTGAGTAGAGAATTCAAACTATCCTGGAAAATTTGAACAAAAGAAAAAAAGATGTAGATATAGTCAATTATGAATGTTATTTTGTCTAACCAATGAGAACATGAAATCACTAGGATTACATCAACAAATTATGTAGTTAAGATTTAAAAATACAAAAGTAAAAAAAAAGTAGCAATAAATTAAAGTGTGATGTATTCAACAATGACATGCACGCATTTGATAAATAGACCAGAAAATTACTTAGCGCAGCGACCTTATCCAGATTACTTCCTTAACTTCATTTCTGTAACTTCACATTATTCTTCTTTCTTCAATTTTCTTACATCTTCTGACTTCCCCTTCTCACACACTGCTCAAAGTTCTTCCCTCCTCATGTTTAGCATGCATTCAATAATTCAGCTTCACGCATCTGAGCTTCATATTATTGAAAATAAAGTGGACATGAGACTTCTTCTGCATTTTCTTCGTCGAACCTTAACCTTAATGGAAAAGAAAAGGATGAAGAATATATGACTATAATTAAAACGGCACGCTCATTCAAATTTTCAGCAGGATTTGTGACAAATGTTCAAGGTTACAGAAGCACAACTGTCAGTTTAATACATTTCACCTTCAGTGGTTCCACATTCACTACTGTGTCTTACTATAAAAAGATTCAATAGCCCTGCAAACAGAAGCTCATATTTAAAGTATCATGCAAATTTTATTGAAGAAAACACTACATGCAGAAATATTTTACCTTTTTTCTTCCTTGAAAAGGAGTAAAACATTTTTATCTTAGAATAATAATCTTCCTTTCAACATAGCGAACATAAAATCACTGAATGTGAAAGGGTCAAAATCAGAAAAAATATAAACAAATACAAACTAGTTTAATCAAAAACAACCTCACGGTAAAGCAAGTTTCATTTGCATACAACGCCGACAACTAAATGCTAAACAAGCACAAGACCTTTGGACTACATTTCAGAACTAATCAGAGTATAAAACAAGGAGGAAGTGGATTGCATTCATTGTTTTACATGACATTTTGTACTTTCTGAAAAACAATAAACAGATCTGTCATGTTCTTCTGCATTCAACTGGCTGGTCTATCAACAATCCTAACAGTCACAAGATGGTAGAGGCTATATTTGTCTGCTGTTTGCAATGAAGAAGAACAGCAGCAGCTAAATAGAAACCAGTAATGGCTCCACACCTCAACAGGTTTTGTAAACCCACAACTGTAGAGATAATCAAATCGTCAGTAAGGACCCTGAAATTGGCATCCAATTGCACCTTGGCTTTGTTTATTGAATATATGGCTATTTTTACAGCAATTTGATCCTGACCTGATAGTTAATAGAAAAAGGAAAACAAACAAATATTTTAAGTTTAAACACCACATGATCCAGACAGGTCAAACCTGGACAGAGTTTAGAAAATAGATTTTCCCGTTTAAGATTGGACTGTAAATACAAAACAGAATAGAACAAAAGTCAAACTGGATCCCTAATGAACATGCAATATACAGGTGCTGGTCATAAAATTAGAATATCATGAAAAAGTAGATTGATTTCAGTAATTCCATTTAAAAAGTGAAACTTGTATATTATATTCATACATTACATACAAACTCATATATTTCAGATGTTTATTTTGTTTAATTTTGATGATTACAAATGACAACAAATGAAAATCTCAAATTCATCATATCAGAAAATTAGAATATTGTGAAAAGGTTCAAAATTGATGGCCCCTGGTGCCACACTCTAATCAGCTAATTAACTCAAACCACCTGCAAAAGCCTTTAAATGGTCTTTCAGTCTAGTTCTATAGGCTACACAATCATGGGGAAGACTGCTGACTTGACAGTTGTCCAAAAGACGACCATCGACACCTTGCACAAGGAGGGCAAGACACAAAAGGTCATCGCTAAAGAGGCTGGCTGTTCACAGAGCTCAGTGTCCAAGCACATTAATAGAGAGGCGAAGGGAAGGAAAAGATGTGGTCGAAAAAAGTGTACAAGCAAGAGAGATAACCGCACCCTGGAGAGGATTGTGAAACAAAACCCCTTCAAAAATGTGGGGGAGATTCACAAAGAGTGGACTGCAGCTGGAGTGAGTGCTTCAAGAACCACCACACACAGACGTATGAAAGACATGGGTTTCTGCTGTCGCATTCCTTGTGTCAAGCCACTCTTGAACCACAGACAGCGTCAGAAGCGTCTAAAGAGAAACAGGACTGGACTGCTGGTGAGTGGTCCAAAGTCATGTTCTCTGATGAAAGTAAATTTTGCATTTCCTTTGGAAATCAAGGTCCCAGAGTCTGGAGGAAAAGAAGAGAGGCACTTCATCCACGTTGCTTGAAGTCCAGTGTAAAGTTTCCACAGTCAGTGATGGTTTGGGGTGCCATGTCATCTGCTGGTGTTGGTCCATTGTGTTTTCTGAGGTCCAGGGTCAACGCAGCCACATACCAGGAAGTTTTAGAGCACTTCATGCTTCCTGCAGCTGACCAACTTTTTGAAGATGCAGATTTCATTTTCCAACAGGACTTGGCACCTGCACACAGTGCCAAAGCTACCAGTACCTGGTTGAAGGACCATGGTATCCCTGTTCTTAATTGGCCAGCAAACTCTCCTGACCTTAACCCCATAGAAAATCTATGGGGTATTGTGAAGAAGAAGATGCAATACACCAGACCCAACAATTCAGAAGAGCTAAAAGCCACTATTAGAGCAACCTGGGCTATCATAACACCTGAGCAGTGCCACAGACTGATCGACTCCATGCCACGCTGCATTGCTGCAGTAATACAGGCCAAAGGAGGCCCAACTAAATACTGAGTGCTGTACATGCTCATACTTTTCATGTTCATACTTTTCAGTTGGCCAACATTTCTATAAATCCTTTGTTTTTATTGGTCTTCAGTAATATTCTAATTTTCTGATATGATGAATTTGAGATTTTCATTTGTTGTCATTTGTAATCATCAAAATTAAACAAAATAAACATCTGAAATATATGAGTTTGTATGTAATGTATGAATATAATATACAAGTTTCACTTTTTAAATGGAATTACTGAAATCAATCTACTTTTTCATGATATTCTAATTTTATGACCAGCACCTGTACATTTAATCATCAAGAATCAAGCTTGATTTAGTAAGATTTAGATAATTTATCCTTTACTGAACAGCTCGAGCTGACGTAGCAACGAATCGAATGCCAACTTCAGCACGCCCTGCTAGTAGCTGGTTTAAAAATGTGAATATAAAACGCTGCCTACAGCGGGAATAAAACAAATGAAGTATTTTTAGGCTGCTTGGCTTAAAGCATTTATATTTATTCCTCCACATTAGTTCAATAGCGCCGGTTTGGCGAGCCAAAGAGCAATAAAAACATTCCTATAAATGTAAATATTATTAAATGCAATTCATGTTATTAGAATATATTGTTCTAACTCCAAAATAAAAATGAGCAAATTTAAATTAATTTACGTAAAGAAATGGTTCGATTCCCTCTAGAACAAAAAACGGCGTTCGAGAAAATTCCCTTCGTTCTAGCACTTTCCATCAAGGGAAGTCGAAACCAATCTGCTTTTTAAAGGTTTAATTACCTATACTTAAGATTTTCATGTGAAACAAGAATACGGCTAAGGTGACTTCGAATACTCTTCTTTTTTATTGGTTTAAAACTCAATATTATACAACAAAAACGAACTGATAAATCGAAAGAAAAAGCTTGCACCAGCTATAAACGACTCCGAAGTTAGGTTCCGAATCGTGGATGTATCCTTATAAAATCATGTAGTTTCATTGCCTAAAGGAAAAAAACTCATCACAATTCGTGTAAATATTTTCAAACCATATTTTTACAGCAGAAAAAAGGGGAAAATATTTTAACCCCCCTTCAGTCCAGAGACCTTAATTAAAACTAACAATTTGTCTTAATCTGAATGATTGTATTAATTATTATTTTAGCACATGATCTAATCTGAATTTAGAGCTATGAAAAAAAAAAACAAAGTTGGATCCAACTGCGTATTACTTTAAGAAAAAAAAAAAAAATCACTGACGACAATTCGGAATCTAACTTCGTATCCGAGGCCTAGCAACACCAAAATGCTAGTATTAGCCAGGAAGCTAATGTTAGCATGTTAATTATATTCCTAAACACACATATGTTGTTATATAAAACTTTATGGGTTAACATTGGAGACTGCAACTGGAAATTTGAGATACCAAAATTGCTTATTGCTGGTGCTAGTGTTAAACGTTAAAAACGTTTATATCAAGGAGTTTCCGAAAAAAAATGCTCGTTTTTTCATATCAAATACTAAACATGCAACGAAATTCTTACGTACCCGGCCTTTGTCGTTGTCGCCCATATTTAAGGCTAAAGAACGGACAAAATTGAGGAATGTACTTAGACCAGTTAATAGTCTGCAATGCTTTGACCATAGCAGGTAGTGTGTGAGCGAATATAAACGTGTAGCTCCTCCTCCATGCCTCGGTCAACTCTCGCGAGAGAAATGGGAGTTGTCTGAAGCCGGGCTTTCTCTGGGTAATAATGTAATAATAATGTAATTACATCACTCTATACATATATATATATATATATATATATATATATATATATATACAGGTGCTGGTCATAAAATTAGAATATCATGAAAAAGTAGATTGATTTCAGTAATTCCATTTAAAAAGTGAAACTTGTATATTATATTCATACATTACATACAAACTCATATATTTCAGATGTTTATTTTGTTTAATTTTGATGATTACAAATGACAACAAATGAAAATCTCAAATTCATCATATCAGAAAATTAGAATATTGTGAAAAGGTTCAAAATTGATGGCCCCTGGTGCCACACTCTAATCAGCTAATTAACTCAAACCACCTGCAAAAGCCTTTAAATGGTCTTTCAGTCTAGTTCTATAGGCTACACAATCATGGGGAAGACTGCTGACTTGACAGTTGTCCAAAAGACGACCATCGACACCTTGCACAAGGAGGGCAAGACACAAAAGGTCATCGCTAAAGAGGCTGGCTGTTCACAGAGCTCAGTGTCCAAGCACATTAATAGAGAGGCGAAGGGAAGGAAAAGATGTGGTCGAAAAAAGTGTACAAGCAAGAGAGATAACCGCACCCTGGAGAGGATTGTGAAACAAAACCCATTCAAAAATGTGGGGGAGATTCACAAAGAGTGGACTGCAGCTGGAGTGAGTGCTTCAAGAACCACCACACACAGACGTATGAAAGACATGGGTTTCTGCTGTCGCATTCCTTGTGTCAAGCCACTCTTGAACCACAGACAGCGTCAGAAGCGTCTAAAGAGAAACAGGACTGGACTGCTGGTGAGTGGTCCAAAGTCATGTTCTCTGATGAAAGTAAATTTTGCATTTCCTTTGGAAATCAAGGTCCCAGAGTCTGGAGGAAAAGAAGAGAGGCACTTCATCCACGTTGCTTGAAGTCCAGTGTAAAGTTTCCACAGTCAGTGATGGTTTGGGGTGCCATGTCATCTGCTGGTGTTGGTCCATTGTGTTTTCTGAGGTCCAGGGTCAACGCAGCCACATACCAGGAAGTTTTAGAGCACTTCATGCTTCCTGCAGCTGACCAACTTTTTGGAGATGCAGATTTCATTTTCCAACAGGACTTGGCACCTGCACACAGTGCCAAAGCTACCAGTACCTGGTTGAAGGACCATGGTATCCCTGTTCTTAATTGGCCAGCAAACTCTCCTGACCTTAACCCCATAGAAAATCTATGGGGTATTGTGAAGAAGAAGATGCAATACACCAGACCCAACAATTCAGAAGAGCTAAAAGCCACTATTAGAGCAACCTGGGCTATCATAACACCTGAGCAGTGCCACAGACTGATCGACTCCATGCCACGCCGCATTGCTGCAGTAATACAGGCCAAAGGAGGCCCAACTAAATACTGAGTGCTGTACATGCTAATACTTTTTATGTTCATACTTTTCAGTTGGCCAACATTTCTATAAATCCTTTGTTTTTATTGGTCTTCAGTAATATTCTAATTTTCTGATATGATGAATTTGAGATTTTCATTTGTTGTCATTTGTAATCATCAAAATTAAACAAAATAAACATCTGAAATATATGAGTTTGTATGTAATGTATGAATATAATATACAAGTTTCACTTTTTAAATGGAATTACTGAAATCAATCTACTTTTTCATGATATTCTAATTTTATGACCAGCACCTGTATATATATATATATATATATATATTATATATATATATATATATATATATATATACACACTGAGGAAGATAATTATTTAAAACTATTTATTTGTATGGCCCGCCCCTCCACACCGATTTCCTCCAGATTATTCAGGTTTCTGGGCTGTCACTGAGAAACAGAAGATTCTCAGTCATCCAGGTCATACTCATTTCAAGAAAGGAAAAAAGGAAAACATAAGAGAGAAGGGGGGTGTTCAGGTTTTAGCTCTCAAAAATCTATAACGCAGCGATAGAGTTGATTCATTTGAATCACTGAATCATCTCAATCCTCCACGGCGTGCAGGGGACCAAAACATCTTGCCTGGTAATGCAGTGCAGTCGCCCTGTCCCATGTGCAGAAAAACACCCCAAAGCATGATGCTACCACCCCCATGCTTTACAGTAGGGATCCCTCCAAAATTTCTAGATGGGAGACCTTGCAAAATAGCAGGGTGTACTTATACTTACTTTTACTTATTTTCTGTCTGTCTGTCTATTTTTGTAATGCCATTTGTTTTCTATATATAGTTTTGGAATTGCGCTGCTTAAAGTGACGACATGTTGGAGTAGCTCTGCTAGCTTGACTCAGATTTTTTTTTTAAGAGAACTTTAATTCCTCCATTTTTGAGACACACAACTGTAAAGCCGTCTAGGGAAGAACAGAGCAGATGTTACTTCATAAGGAAGCTTATGAATCTTCCATAAGTCTGTTGTGGAGAGAGAGATCTCTTCTTCCATCCTCTGCTGGGGTAACAGAATTAGAGCTAATGACTTAAAAAAAGCTCAACAAGCCAATTAAGAAGGTCAGCTCTGTTCTAGGAACCACTCTAGAACCTCTGGAGATTTTTTCATAAAATGAAGAGAAATTATGGACAACAGTGAGCATCCTCTTCAGAAGATTTTTCAACAACAACAGAGTGTCTTCAGTAAGAAGTTTCTAGAGATCCGGTGCAAGACAGAAGATCCTTCCTGCCTACAGCCAAGCCAGGTGGCTTATATACCTCATGTCCAATGGTGCTTACATTTTTACACAAAACATAGACCTTATATGTGTTCATTGAGAATTAGAGTATTTTTACATTTGTTGAGGCTGTTCAATAGCAGTTTATATCAAATATATTACACAGGTGAAAGAAATAGTTAATATGTATGTCAGCAAACTGTACTAAGTATAATCTATGTGGTTCCAAGACAATTTGTCATAGATAATCTGTGTGCCTCAGTCTTTTAAAATTTTATCGGTAAAAATGTATATTCTTTTATGTTGGCAAGCTGGTGTCAAAAGCAAAGGAAACAAAAAAATTGAGCCATGGTGGGGTTTTTTTTTTTTCTTTCATAAGCAGTTGGTTAGAGAGAAAACACAATTCATTTATTCAAGACTACAATAATTTTTTTAGCCCTTTAACCATAAAAATACAGATTATAAAACGGAACCACAATATTTTCTGTTGCATTTTTTTATTTGAGAAGAAATTACAGTTGTACAGAATTATTTTTCAGAGATATTAAATAATTATCTAAAGAGCTTTGGCACTGGACAGGGTTATTAATAGCGATTATACATATGAGAGATAAACATAGATTATCATTTAGTGAGTAAAAAGCATTGCACAAAAAGGTGAATGAATACAATTTAACATATGCTGCGTTATAAATAATAAAAGCACATCTATTGCAAAATTAACTATCTTCAGGTGCATCGTCTGTATTTTTACTCAAGAATATATAAAGTGATTCACACATGGGACAGGACCTCACAGATGTCTGCAGTCATTACTCATTAACACCTGTAAGGCAGACAGAATAACAATCAATGTATTTTTTTTATTTTACTGGACCGGTTTGTGCGTCATTTGACTTACCACAGTTATAGAGGACATTTATTTTATGGAGATCAAGCGCACTAGGTCCGTCTCGCTGGCCAATAGGAATGTAGGGGTCTGGTTTGGGAATGATCGTTGGTCCGCCGTCTTCAGAGAAGGCGTATCTGAATCAGAGGTGTAGAAAATTTAAGGATGCCCCTTTTTCCTCAAGAGCAAAGACTGTGCATTTACAGTGATTTGAAAAAGTATTTTCCCTTTGAAAATAGTTTTTTTCAGTCACACTTGATTCACACAGTGTCATAAAAAAGCACCTGAGTGAAAACAACAAATTGTTAATGAGAGTTTCATTTCTAAGTGTTTTCTAAAATTGATAAAATTTCTTCTAAGCTTGCACCCCCCTAGCTGAAAAAAATGCAACCAAGAGACTCATCACAGGGAGGATGAGTCTTTTACATCCCCCTGGAAAGGTTTCATCCCTCTCTTCTTCACAGGGTTATTTTAGTTCTGCAACATTGTGCAGGTTTTGAGCAGGAACTGACTATTCATGATATTGTTATGCAATCTCAATTGGATTTAGGTTTTGATGACACGTATTCAGAACTTTCAGTCTCTGTTTTTCTCTGTTTTATTTAAGCCATTTAGAGTCGAAGTGGCAAAGCAACCCCTTACCATCACACTATCACCACCATGCTTTTTCTATGTGGCTGTTTATAGATATAACTGACACACATCTTCCAAAAAGTTCCACCTCTTCCTTCTTAGTTTACAGAACATTTTCCCGAAAAGGTCTTTTAGATCAATTAGATGGTTGTTCTCTTTTCTTTTCTTTTTTTTGACAAACTTGACGATGATCTTTTCTTTATTTGTAGCAATATGTAGTTTGCAGTTTCTAACTCAACTCAGGCTAGTGAAGCCTGTAGTAATGGGGTGTACTGGTGCATTAGCTAGTTTTTTTCCTAGTATTGGTATTGGGCCGATATGTGCATGCATTCACTGATTCATTATTGGAAACCACAGCCATGCCTTAAGATTATGTGAAGCTTTATCTTAAGGCATTGTTTCTTTTTTTAAATTTAGATATGTGTAACATTTGTTATCATTGTGTTATTTCTATCATGCAAATGCAGGAAGAAAAAGCAATAATGGCTTCAAAAATCGGCCCAAAAAAAAAGATCAAGGATTGGTTGGACTGATGTCAAAATAATCTGCATTAGCTTTGGCCTACTGTGCTTTAGATGTTATTCTGTGTGCTTTTGTGATGTCCTTTATGTCTTTCAGAAGTGGTCTTGGAGTCATTTTAATTGGCTGGCCATGGTGGTCAGTGGTTTTCTCACTCGTTTTGGATTTAAAGTCTTTGTTTCCTATCCGTTCTGGTATTTTTCTATTAAATTATGTTTAAATTATGAGATTAAATTA